CATTTATTTTTATTATCACCATTTTTATTAAATTAAATTCCTTCGTGAATTATACATTTCAAGTCTATTAAATGTATTTAGCAATAGGGTAATGATCCAACCGATGAATATTCATAATTCGTCATTTAAATTTAAATTATTAAACCTAATAGCGTAGTACAGTTTAGTATATAATTTCCTCTTTTTTTTCAAATGTTGTTGCTTGTATAGAATCGTGCATTCTCGCGAAATTCTTTTAAATTTCAACACAAAATGCTATCCACAATTGTATGATAGTTTACAGTTCTCATTTCAAATCTATAATAATAAATCGAAATGATCAAATTCGCAATCGAAACGAATCTCTACGCGACACCCACACAGATATTTGTAGTTTTTTGCTTTTAAGCGCTATATTGTTTTGTAGTAAACAACTCCTATCAAATTAACGATTAGTCAAGAAGGAAAGAAACTTTATCCCAAGAGTCCAATGTCAACAATTCTCACGGCGGAAGTGGTTTCTACTAGAAATACACGTCGACAATCGCTTTCTCTGTAATTCCGCGCCCCTTCCTGACTGCTCTCTTTGATAGTGTTTTATTTTCCCCGCTGCCTTTGTTTTTATCTCTATCTTCCTATGCTCGTGGTTACAAACGATTTGGGTCAAGCGCTCTGGCTCGTTAAAAAAAAAAAAAAATATAGGAATTTCATGTGGCCAGCCGTTCACCCGACGAAACACTTTGCGTTCTGAAGAACATCTCATTCCGTGTCGCGAGGTTACGCGAAATACACAAAATGATAGGTCGGTGCACAAGTAATCTCAGCTATGTCTCGAATACTCTGAAGAATGTGAACGAAGCAAAATTTGTGTAATTGTCAATTAAAAGGATTTTCTTTAAATTCTCCATGGGAAATGTGGGTCGTTAATGAGCCAGTTGAAATTTCAATTTTTCCGGACTTTCCCCCGAATTTTCCTTTTTATTCAAAAGACTTTTCAACATTCGACTGAAGAAGCGATTGTAATAATGTGACAGAGATTTTGATAGGTATACCAGAATTTTTTCAGATTTTTTGGAAGAAATTCTGGTATACTACTTGTAAAATCACTAAAAATGATGGATAATGCCTGTTTTTCTCTTTACCCATCAAAATGTCAACGAATGTATAAACTGTACTTTGTTAATTCGTTACCCTTGACAGCCACTGTACGAAGGAGAAAACCGTACTTTGTTAATTCGTTATCGTCGAAAGGAACCTTCACGTCCGAGTGACAGTCGAGCACTCTGCAAGTGCTAGTTTTCGCTCCTCTAATTCTAATCGGAAAACATACGGTCGTATACAGACGGCACTTACAAAGAAGTGTCTGATATCGGTCTCCCTCAACACCAGAATAGACTCTCTTCACCGCTAGCTACCGGTTCGTGTTTTCGACCCACTGTTGTCATATAGCTACGTATTCTGAATTACGAAATGAAATATTAGTATCATGTAATTTTGTTATATCTGTGAGTATATAATAGTTCCTTTTAGTCTTGTATATTTTAAATGTGTATTTGAAAGATTCTCGGTAAAAGAAGACATTATTGGAATTTTGTATCATACAAACGATGGTTGGTTGTTCGTTCACCTGTAACGCTGAATTTCCGAAAAAAAAATCACTTTTCGGTTCTGTTTTATTTATGTGTTTACATATACATGTTTTTTTTTGAAACTTTTATTTCTATTCTTGCCTCCGTTTATATTTGTCCTTTTATTTTTACACGTGTGTCATGTATGTCGTAAGTGGCTAGATCATTCACCTATTATTGTGTTGTAGATACGGAATATTTTAACACGTTTTACGCGTAAGTTTTGAAAGATATAGTGACAGTGAGAAGTATTCATCCATCGGTGAGTCAGGCTTTCGGTTGATAATATTATTAGGTCGATGAGTAAATTCTGTTTGTTGATTTTTCGAACGATGAAATCTAAGAGTTTTATGTACCCTCGAAAAATTGACCGTATAAATATTATTTTGTTACTCTTATACAAACATGAGAAAGTGTTTCTTTTTTCTCGATTTTCTTTTAGTAGATCGGGGTAATACCGTATAACCTCCTAGTAGCAATTACGAAATTTACAATCTTAATGGTTGTATAGGCGAGTCCTTGATCAACCCTGTCGTTCTAATGCTTCATCGGCTTATAATATCATTCAGATCCCTGCGGCAGGCTTATATAAATGGTATTTGCGAGCATTTCAAGTTAAGTTGATGTGCTCGAACCCTCGAGGAAAGTTCGCGACGAAGAATGAACGGGGGAACGTTTATGCTCGTACACGCGTTTCATTCTTAGCTGGGGAAAAGTGGATTATTGGTAATAGGCCTTGGCACATTGAAACCGTGTCAGTCGAACGAAGAAGGAAGGGCGAGTGTGCTCGGTGTCAGATCCTAACGTTTTACTTCGAATGGGCCAGCCGTAACCGACGATTATTTCCTCCACCTCCGGCGTCAAGACAAATTTGTTATATTCTTGGAAACTTATACTGGCCGGTTGCCAGCCGGACGCTAATGACCTTTCTTCCAGCATACGATCCATTTTCCAAATTCGGTCCTCCTTTTACGGCGTCTTTTACTACAATCTCTGCGTTCATTTAACTACGAAATTGCTTTCTCGTTCATGATTTAGGAAAAAGGATATTTTATTATTATTATTATTAATTGTAAATATAGATAGAGGGGAAGTTAAATGAAAATGAGTATATATTTATTTACAGTAGTAGACGAAGAAGTTGGAATTTTTTCGAATTGTTTTTCAACGTTAACTTAAAACTTCAGTTATTTCTATGTTCAAATTTTACATCATTTATTCTCAAGATGTAAATACTAACGGTGAGTAGACGAAAATAAGATTTAGGTTGAGTTCGAATTTTATTTTTGCGCGGGAGGGACAAGTCACGGTTCTAAAAATCGGGTTTTGTCGTCAATTGAATCGAGACGGGGACGAATTAAATAACGAATGAAGCAGATGTGACCCAACTCCGATACGGTCTGTCCGAAGAAAAATAGACGGTGGGACAGTAGATCGGGGATGATGGTTTCGTTATGTAGGTCGAATAGGGTCACTCCTTTGGTCGTCGACGAAAGGTTGAACTCCAATTATAGCGTGCGAATGAATAGTCGATTATTATCGGTCCATGTGAAATGATCTTTCCGAACAAGACACTAATTTTTGTTTTGAAATACGTAGGTACAGTTTAGAGTCTCTTTCACTTTGCTACAACTTTTTAACAAATTACCTGTACGTCATAAATTTAAAAAATATATATTTTTATGAGCTAGTCGATTATAAGATAAAAGACGAATAATGTTGCGTGTATCAATATATAAGGTTTACTCTTTTTCATTTTCTCACTTTGAGAGTACTGCCTTTTGCTTGCTGTACGGCCTTCATTGTGAATTGTTACCTACGTTCCGCTAATCATTGCCTCATGAGATCCGACTGAAATCGGTTACGTTTCTAATTCGAATGCTTCAATAACAAAGTTCTATCTATTTATAACATAAAGTAAAGGTTTCCTATGATCTCATATCTAAAAATCGAACGGAGTAAGATCCGCTGATCGTTGATGCCAACATAATACTTCACGGCTAATTTAGCAGTCATGGCTAACACTTAATGGGCCTCCAATTCCAAGTGTTTCAGTGTTGTTTAATCGGTGGAAGAACCAAAATTGTAACGCTAAGAAAATAGAAGGTACTTAGATGGATTTCAAAGCTGCTGTTTTCCTAAACGTCACTATAGATGAGATGAAGTTCCCATTCTAAAATTTTTACTTCTGTTAGATTAACGATACTGCTGATTCACTGGTGGATATTTACGCATATCCGTTACCGTTTTCACCTGTGGCAATCCCCGTTGCAAATGCGTTCGAGCTTATAATCAGCAAAAATATTCTTCAATAAATTAGTACAGTATTCACCAATAATTTAGTAAAATATTCTCCAATAAATTCGTGCAATATTCTCCAACAGATTAGTAAAATTTTCTCCAACGAGTTCTTCAAACACATATAAAACATAATATTTCAAACATTCGACTTATCTTTTTACAAAGAGCCATCATTTTGTCGCTTGTATCATCAATAACAGTTCACTCCGTATGTTGACGGTCGATACGAAGGTTCCGTTTGCGGTAATATTTTACTTTGTTAATTCTAATATGCAGCCACATGGCTACAGAGGGACCGAATATTGGCAGAGTTCTTCAAAGAAGTTTTTCTCACATTGACCGGTTATTCGTTAAGAGAGGATCGCTGGTTAAGCGACGTATTTGATAAGGAGCTTCGAATCGATGACGAAGGAGAAATTCGTTGGCCGGCCAAGAGTCAGTCGGCGTCTTATTACGGTTTTAAGCACACGACAACCTTGAACTTTAAAGTACGTTTGCTCCGACCAACACGGAAACGTTTCGGGGGTTGGCCTCTTCGACGAGGTCCGGGGCGCGAGCAGCCAGTTAAAAATAATTCGAACGCGAAAAGGTGCATCGAGCTCGTAATTGTTCGGTGTCGTGTACACGACCCTTTTCGAGGATGATTTCTAATGATCATTTCCACTCGTTTCTAGTATCTTTAATTCTTCATTTTTCTCAGAATTGAAAATGTTATTCCGTTTTATACACTCCATGTTATTCTTCCTCAATTATCATTTTCAAGGTGCGTCCACTTTTCTGCAGAATTTATCATATAATGAGAAAAATGTATTAAAATGATTTTAACAAGACATGCATGCTTTGTATAAAGAGAAATGAAACTTATTTTTATGTACTGTGTGTGTGATATTGAAGGGACAAAAGTATGAATATTTGCGTTAATTAATGCAGAATTGAAAGTTATGGAAATGTATCCACTTATGAAAGATTTGACCAAGGTAATAAATTCCTCATATGGAATGTTCTTTATCGAATAACATCCTTGATTTATAATGCTCCGTTAGACCATGACAAGACAGATGATTTAACGACACCCCATATTTTCTGTTTCAGGTGGTGCTAGTTTTCATTCTCAGTATAGCGTCGCTTATAATATACTTCATCGATGCCTCCAGGTGAGAAAATTAATGAACTTTTTATTTACCTTTAACCAGGTCTCAGATAACGAATTGTAATATGTTAATTGTGTTTGTGGATAGACATTTGATGGGAAAAATATACAAAATATACAAGATTTTAATTCGTGATATTTTAACTATATATCATTATAAAGACGGAGGATCAAATATAGTTGATAGCAAGGAAACGTATCTTTTACAAAAAATACAGAATGTTTATTTTCTTTGGCCCATACAATGTCAAGCGAAATTCTTTTCAAAAAGTGTCCTGAGAATGAAAAATTATACAAATGAAAGATTCCATACAAGTTTTATGGTGTTATTATCGATAATGCGACATTTTTTGTTACAGCGAAGAGGTGGAACGTTGCCAAAAGTGGAGCAACAACATTACTCAGCAGATAGACTTAGCTTTCAATATATTTTTTATGGTCTACTTTTTTATACGCGTAAGTGTAAACATCTTTAATAATAATAATTCTTTCACTTGTTGATGATCTGCTCGAAGTCATAGAAATTTTCTTATAATAGAATCCACAGAAGATTCGATCTACCGTACAATAAATTGTACAGTTGTTCTTTCATATATTTGGACTTAAAAAAAAAATTTCTATCAATAGTTACGTCGTGGTACAAATAACACTCATTAAAGTATTTTACAAAATTCTTCATAAAATCATTATATATAAATAAAAAAATTTGTTACCATATTCAGCAATGCTATAGACGCATAAAATCCTGAGTGCATTTGTCAGAACGAGAATTGTAACGTGCACGTGATTATTGTACAGCGTATCGTACGATGCGATCGTTTGATGGCAGTAACGTTCCTGCCATAAAACCTTGTTGCATTGTAGGTTTGATGAACGATAGATTTGAACGTGCCTATAATACCAACGATTTTCTGTACGCTTCTAGTTTCGAAACAGGAGCTTCCTTTTACGATCACGTACACTGCATTTCGGTTCGACCTATCGTACACAATAGATCGTTTCGTCTATGATCAAAACGATGGCAGAAGTTGTTACTATTCGACATACAGTATCAACTGTACGATATTGATCCATGAAGGCTCTCAATTTATGAAACTTTTATGATCAACAATCGTATGGTATTGATCCATGAATGCATTCAATTTCTGACACATCTATGATCAAACACTACGTATATATGACGTATAAATTTTTGAAATTTCTCTAATCACTAGACTACGGATTTTATTTATTTATAGCATGCAGAATTATTTCACAAAAATTTATAATTGCATAAACACCCGCAGTCTACTATAGTTGCATAGAAAATATTCGAATTGATACAAGTTAACAGAATCTTTGGCGATTTAATGAACTTCGCAGTAAACCAAGTCACAATAATAATGTTTGTTCTCTTGGAACAGTTTATCGCCGCCAGTGACAAGCTGTGGTTCATGCTGGAGATGTATTCGTTCGTGGACTACTTTACGATACCACCGTCCTTCGTGTCGATATACCTCGATCGGACGTGGATCGGACTGAGGTTCCTTCGAGCCCTACGACTGATGACGGTCCCTGACATCCTCCAGTACCTAAACATTCTAAAGACATCGAGCTCCATTCGTCTCGCCCAACTCGTTTCAATCTTCATCTCCGTCTGGTTGACAGCTGCTGGCATCATTCATTTGGTAAGATATTCTTTCGTTCTTTAACCCATTAAGTGTTCTATTTCATTTTGAAAACATGCACTCGTGTGCTTAATTATTTTTAAGTCATGACGAGTGTACTCGAGTAAAGCAGAGTAAATGCATTTGCTGTGAAATTGAAACAAATTCTAATAAAACGACAAAATTACTCTTGCGACTTGAACGCCATTTATCGTCCACAAACAGTCACACACAATTTTATTTCAACAATTTTTTGATATTTATTATAGTTTTCAAGATATATATAGAAACATAGGAAAACACACATTAACCATTGATGGGTATTCCTCACTCTGAAGAACCAAAAAGTAGTAAATAAATTGCTTCTATTGAGGTCCCCTACAAACCTGCATAGTTTACAAAAAAATAAAAATTTTCGAGTTACTCTTATTATTTCATGAAAGTAGTTGTTTGAAAAGCGAAACAACCAAGTTCGGTTCATGATATGGTATACGATTTTCTTCCATAATGTGAATTTTTCACTATAGCTGTACCGTGTGAACTTGAGACTTCCAGCGGAGTAGAGGGTCACATTACTGAGAAATGCGAGACTTTTACGACTCAACATCATACAGTTATCACTGAAAAGGCTTTTTGGTCTAAGGCGTGCTTTTTTAGAAAGTATTTGCTTACGCTTCTTCACATACACTTTTACGATATAAACAGTTGAAAGATTGCTAGGGAATAAAAGAACACACAATGAGAAGAAACGATATCTAACAGTGTCACACTGTCATTCGAACCATTCATTCGATTAACCCACTGGGTACCGGTTTATTTGAAATTAATTTTGCATATGGAACAGATTTAATCTTTTTTCTAAACTGACAAAGTAATCTGAAATGAACAAGAATGTATATTTAGGCAAAATAAGTGGATGGCAAGTTTTAGTTGTTAAATGTACCCAAGGGGTTAAACAGTTCCTTTGACTCGTGTGTATTCATTCAGAAAGAAATACTATTTTACTCTAAAAATTGAAATTCTCAAGTTCATTCGATCAAACCTTCGTATTTAATCTGTTATCTTTCATTCGAAGCGGTTCATTTATATAACAAACTCATCCATCTCTGATTTCTATCGTTCTCTTCAGACGGCAGTAAGAGGTCCTATGCATTAATGTAGTGGACTCCTCTATCTCCTCTACCTCAATGCAGTGGATTCGCCACACTACTATTAGATTCATCCCATAAGTTATGCGGCACTTTTGAAATTTAAATTTAAAACAATACAATTCAACGTGACCGTCGCTTAAAGAAGACACCTTCAGATAATATTGCGTCACAAATTCACGAGTGCAGACTTAATAGTCCTGTTATTACAAATGTTTAACCCTTTGGCTACGGCAGACTTTGGCACGCACCGGCTGTACGGTACGGTACGAATTCACTCGCGACGTCCACTGGGTACGGCGAAGTTTTTCGTTAGACATGCATTTCTGAGGAAGTATATTAAAATATTCAAAATACTGAATTCTATTACATTAAACCAATATTACTTGAAGTGAACAGTAATTTTAAGCTTTTTTCACAATATTTAATAATAAAATTTAATAATATAATAACGTGTGATACATTTCAAAACATGGATGAATACATAATCCTACATTACATTTTTTGCATTCGTAATGTGTATCCTTTCTCTTATCATTTTTTGCACACACTACACATTTACGCCTTGCACTTTTCCGAATTGCTGTATTGCTTTCATATGGAGACGGAAAATGCTTCTGCGTCAAACGAAAAGGCTCATTGATAGTATCTTTACATTTTAATTTATATCCATTACTTTCATCTAAGCTGTATTTTCTTAATATTTGTTTTATTAAATTTAAATGAAATTTACGAAATGTTAAATTTCTTCCAGTTACATAGTTATATAATATAAATGTGTTATATACAGCTAAATCGAATAAATGAAAAAAGAATTTCTTATACCATTTTAAGCCTTTTCTGGTAGAATTTAGAGTGTATAAAACTTGATCAACTTTGTCAACCGTCCCCATTGTTTTATTATAATCAAGTATGCATTGTGGTTTTACTATTTTTTCTTTTGTTACGTAGTTTATCTTGTCGGTCTCAATCATATTGGGACAATGATAGGTGGAAATCATTCACATTTCCCTTTTGTTCATCCATTTCAACGCTAATACATTGTTCACTGACCGAAATATGTATTCTCCTTTGTTTATCTTTTTATCTAATTCCGACCTATTTTTTCCCAATCTGTTTTTTCTTACTGTTCCATATGCGTTGGTTAAGTTTTTATGTAACAGTAAGAACAAACTCGGACTGCTGTACCAATTATCGGTCACGAGTGTATGACCTTTTCCAAGATACGGTTCTAAAAGCGTCATTACTATCTGGCCAGACTTTCGTATCGATGTAGACGGTACATCTTCAGATATTATCATGTTGACCCCGCAATATACAACCAAATCTTGAATATAGCCTGTCTGGCAATCACATAAGACAAAAGATTTGATCCCAAACCTGCTTCTTTTTGACGGTATATATTGTTTAAAATAACATCTTCCTTTGAACAATAGCAAACTTTCATCTATGCATAACTTTTCAAATGGATAAAATGGTATACAGTACGCTGGGATACAGTACGAAGACAGTCAGTCGACTATCGGGATATATACAGTGTTTCCAGCGATTGTATTCCGGTCTATACGCCACTTTAGAGTAAATCAGTGCTAAAGAAGGTTCAAGAAATTTCAAGCAGGTCTTAATAATGACCCTCGTCTCGAGGGTCTGTAGAAATACTTGAAGTCGTTTTACGGGTTACTTACTGAACACAATTTGGCTGTGACTAGTGAAGAATTGGCACAGATGTTGAAAACATATTATTCATTGATTACTGACAAATTGTTGTTTATTCTCACTAACATATGGACCCTTGAATACTTTAATGCTGTAAGTCGATTTTTTACGAATCTTATAAGGGACATCACTCAAGTGTAACACGCAGATTTTTATGCAATTTAGTACAAAGGTATTATATTTTAGGGGGTGAAAGCAGTTAACAATTATTAAGAACAATATGCAAAAAAGTGTTAATTTGAATACATTTTTTAAACAAATTGGTATTTCGAAGTATTTATTTTTACTGTTATGAAACACAATTTTTGTTAACAAATATTTTTTCTAAGTCAAATAATTTGGGGAATTAAAGACTGTATTTTTCAACCCCCGAATTTGAGGACTGTTTTCACCACCTAGATATGAATGTCAAAAGCTAAAAAAAAAAAAAAAAAAAAAAAAAAAAATAAACGTTTTGTTTCTCGTTCGCAGCTTGAAAACTCAGGGGACCCATTCGAGTTCACGAACCCGCAACAGCTTTCGTACTGGACTTGCGTTTACTTTCTGATCGTGACGATGTCCACGGTAGGATATGGCGACGTTTACTGCCAGACGGTCCTCGGCCGAACATTCCTAGTATTTTTTCTACTCGTCGGTTTGGTAAGCCTCCTTTTTTCCATCTGTTCTACATAGCTAAAAAGTATCGAAGTTCAATATTACGTATTTATCGAAAGAAACTAAAAAAAAAAACAGCCCTTTGTAGTTCACTTATACAATAGGAAAAGTCTCGCGTGAAAGACTGAATGGCCTGAGTAAAAAGAACTAAATTTTCTGTTTTTTCTTTCGAGATATCTTCGTTTACTGGTTTCTTGAACAGGCAATTTCGTTTTCTCCGAGATGTATACACGGGCGAACTCTGCGAACCAAATATGGCCGCCGCCTTGGTCTCCACGCATGAAATAAAATCTATTCAATCTAATCGATTATTCTCATGAACACTCTTGCTTTCTTAAAAGAATTTTTTAGGAAGTTAAGATTATTTTTTCCGAACGTGAGGTTAAAGATAGAATTCTTTCTATAATACTTTCGTCCCATAAATTAATTCTTAACGAATCGCTATAAAGGGTAACAAGTTTCATAAATAAAATAACGATTGTTTAGTTGCGTCAGTATCCGAATAGGTCGCAGAGTTCGTCACGCTAGAGTAGAACCGTCACATTCGCTGTCTCGCCAATGACTATAAATTAATATCGTTGCTAATTTTACACGTTAATCATTTTATTGGCTTTTTTTTTGTTCAGACACTTGATGTAGATACTAGTGTGCAGAAAGTGTATTGAATCAGTTTTCCATACATATGTATATATACTTGATCCTCGCGACACGCAAGATCTCCGCCGTTTTCATGCTTCATAAATTTTACGAGTTCACTATGTCTCCACAGAATGATACGTCTGTAGATGAAATTGGCGAGGCAAGCGATGGCCGTGAGACTTAATATCCCCCTGACACACAAGACGGTGAGCATTTCGAATGCACAATGTCCTCTGGTCGATTCCTCGATCATCGATCTCTCCACGATTTTCATGATCTGCATATATCGAAATTCTTATTTGGAGAATAAATTAAGGAAGTAATTCTTGATTACCAGTGAAACATTACCATATAATAATGCAAATTTTTCGTCGCCTTCATTGAAACGTAATTTCATTCTAGTGTCATTCTGTTGATAATTTTTGCGACGTTGCTCTTCTGAATTGAGAAATTAGCCGCGTGATGCCCTTAGGAAGTCAATAAATTGATTAGAATGGAATTTTTAAAGTAGCCTTGGAACAAGGAGCGTTCACACGAGAATTATAAATGTTTAATTAAAAATTCCTGTGCGTACACTTTTCAGAAACTTTACTTTCTTGGGAATGAATTATCCTGTTGGAAATATTTCAAGATTGATTAGTCGAATATAAAATAAACGCACGCGTTGAATTGTTCAATGAATATCGCGAAGAGACAGTAAATGGGTGCGTTGCATAAAATGTTTATCGCAAGATTGTTAAAATATTAAAATTTTGAAAAAGAATGTTAAACTTGTATTGAAATATAGAATATTTTTAGATATTGTGATTCCATCGAATCACAAGGGTTACCTTACAGAATTAGAAAATATTCACTTTGAAATAAATGAATCTTCGCATTTCGGAATTTAAGAATGATATTTATTAACGTAACTACCTAATACACACGTTTTTCATTCATGCTAAAGTGAAATGATAGCTTTCGTTGACTTCAGGAAGTTCACAGTATAGCGTTGAAGCCACTAAACCACCGATCTTATCTGGAAAACTTCACGAAGTTTCTTAGCATAATGGGAATTTTAACCTGTAGAGTAAAGTAGAGGACTGGAAGCTTATTTTTAGGCTCCAGAAGGGTCGCTTATTTTTCGTAGTATAACATAATAACAAACATATAAAAGTTGTAACTCGAAAATATAAAAAGTCATGAAAAACCCTTTCCGTCCTCTAAAGGAATAAAATCACCTGATACGTTTCGTTCCTCTAACTTTTTTTCGAAAAATTTGCATTACCTACTGGTGTCAAATTAATTTACAAGTTTCTCTGATAAAGAATACAATTAAAAATCGAAGCTTGAGTTTGGATCAAATTGAGAGTTAAACAGTTCGTTGAACTCGTGTTTATTGATTCAACAAGAAATACTACTTTAATCTTAAAATTGCAATTCTCAGGTTTCTGTTCTATCAAAAATCTCCATTTAATTGGTCATCTTTCATTTGAATACGAAGTTTCTTAACATAATGCGATAATTCTTAAATTACCCGAAACGACATAGTGTCTTCTTGAATAATTTACTTTACCTGCAGATGACTCGATAGAGACGTTACGTTTTTTTTTTATCGTAACCGAGCAGGTACCAGAGGACAGTGTTATTCGTCGTGGAATCGATCGCTTCGTTTGAACGACGATGCGCAGTGTCAGCGACAAGCATGTCCTGTGCGCGGGTGTGCGTGCATACGTGAGCATATGTAGCTTATCGATCCTGCCTACTTACGTATGCATTTACCATTAAAAAGTTATACCAAAGAAAACCAAAATTTGTCGATTTTGCCGGGAAAATCAACATTGCTTTTGCCGACATTGTGGATGATAAGGTTCCGAGCATCGCCGTTTAAACGTGGCCCCCACGTCTCTAGCGTAACGTTTGTCTATGGATGTCATTAGTATTACGAACGATTCCACCACCATAGCTCATGCTGTAATCCGTCGAAAGTTGTAGAGATATACGTATACTGTTCCTCTGGAATATGGCAGATTCGACAAACCTTACGTGGTATACAATGGCCCTCGTATATGATAAAAGTTTCTCGATGAATTGAAGACTCGACTCGTTTTCTGTGGTGTTATTTTACGGTTTTTTTATGGATCTTTGGAGATAATTACGTCGTATAACTGAAAACGCTTGATTTTTAACAGCAAATACTTGATATTTAATGCTTTTTGGACTATTTTAAATTTTTGACTTTTCTGAGATTTTCTGACTGCACTTGATGTTGATTGAAATATTTTATTGGGGAAGTAATGACTAGATTATGAATGTTTATGCATTTATGGCATTCCAGATATGAGGAAGTTATTTAGTTAGGAACATAATTATTACAGCTATTTTATGATTAAAATCTGATTTTCTTTCAATGCTTTTGTATAAAGGATAATGATCAATAGAGTTTCTATAGCACTACTTCTGAAGATTACAAACTTTACTTCTGTTTCTCCAGGTGGTTTCACTTCAATATAAATTGATTATTTGAATCGTAGATCTCTTGTTGACCTTACGTTTTCTTTATTTATATGACAAATTTATCCTAATGTACTATCACTACAATTCACTACATGAATTTTACTTAAGAAAGAAGTTATCGTATCCTGGGTTACGACACAGTCTTTACACATTAAAAGTGTCCTGTTTTATTTCCAAATGTTACTGAACAGTTATTTAATCAGTTACGAATACTAATATCATAATAATAGGAAGCAATAAACCTCCGAGGAGTCTCATTCCAAAAAATCGTGAAAGTAGTATCTCACCTTTATAACATTTCCTACTGTCAGCTTTTCACCTACAAAACTAACCGATTGTACCGATAAGAGGAGCGCGAGTCGAGTCTTCACGAGGCATCGAGAGGACCCACCGTAAAAAAACGTGCACCGTGCTGTGGTCACCAAGCAGCTTTTCTAAACCTTCTCTTTTTTACTATCTATCGAATCGTACCTGTTTAAAATTGTGTCCCGTCCCCCGTAAAGTCGCATATATAAAACAGCCTTATATATGCCACGAGAACAACCAAAGAAAAAGAAAAATCCCCCCCCCAAAAAAAAGAAACTAAAAGAAAAGACAAACCGAAAGTAACGAGAAATTCCTTTACATCGGCTTACGAGAAAGCAATTCGCGGTGCTAGATCGGTCCACCTGCACGCCAGCTTTGGACCGTGTCTCTTTTTGCTCCAACCGAGACCCGAAACGTGTAACACGAAAGGAAAACGAAAGGAAAAGACGAGAAAAGGAAAAACGAAAAGCAAAAAACAGAATAGAGAAATGGATTACCCGCCCCCAGTCCCTAAAGAAAAGAAACAAAAAAAAACATCGAAAACGAAAAGAAATAACCGAAGTACCGAGTATATAAGAACTCGAGTGTTCTCTATTATAGCGATATACTGGCTACCTGTGCCTTATGCCTATACCTCTATGTGTGGCCGTAGTCGGAGCCGGTCCTGATGTTTTCGTGCAGCTATGCCCACTCTCGTTTTCTAGGCGCGAGACACGCACGCGATGCTATTCGTTTCGGTAACAACGACGCTCGCGTGCAATGATTCGGAAGGAACTTGTATATCGCTTTGGCCCGGCTGATGCTCGAACACGTGATTGATGTACACCATTCCCTGTTTATAAACACGCCTCGTCGACTTGCTTTATCCAGTGGCCTCGTGGCCATCCCTATTGTATGAGGGAGATGATGGCTGACAGATTAAAATCGATCCAATAATTGTATTCTCACAAGTCTCTAGACGGCGCGTGCTTATATAGAGGGAATGCTGTTCCACAACGATAACGAGGGCGGTATAGATTTACTTTGACAGGAACCACTGGACTCTATGCTATACCTGGAACGATAACTATGAGTGTTGGGGGTCCAGCTGGCTTGTTAGAGAGAGAATAAATTGTGTGAGATATCCTTATTTATCTTTTATGGACGTGCAGTAGCGTCTATATCTGCCTATACCCAAATTTGCTATGGGACAGTAACATTACTACAGGATAGTGTAATAAAGGATAGACGTACCCTCTGTACAACTGGCTCCCTTGGCTAGGCTCATTTAGGGTTTCCCCTACTCTGTTATCGTTCCAGGTATAGTATATAGGGTGTCCCAAAATAGTTGTAAGTCCTTGAAAGGGGTGATTCCTGGGGTGATTTGAAACAACTTTTTCCTTAGCGAAAAAGTTCTCCGAGGCTTTGGTAACGAGATATTAATGAAAAACCCCGACCAATCAGAGCACCAGTCTGCCGGCTGAGTTCCCGCGGTAGGGCGTAGCCAATGTTACCGCAGGACCTCAGTCGGCAGACTCGCGCTCTGATTGGTCGGGGTTTTTCGT